GACAGGAGTTTTAAACTGTAAGTGTATTTAATTTAGTTATGTTAGTTATGCTCGTTTAGTTATGATGTAAATACAATAAAAATTAAACCAAGATTTAGATTGGAATAATTATCATTTTGAGCCATACATTGGTAATGTCTGACTGGGCCTCGTGCCACTTTATGCTCAACAAATTGGGCCCCAAGGTCAAAAAGGTTAAGAACCCCTCCTTTAGATGACCAAAATGTAAAAGTCTAAGGGGGTCAAATCAGGAGACCTTGGGGAGCCATTCAGCTGGACCACAACAACCAATCTACTTTCCAGGAAACTATTCATCTGGGAATGCTCGGACCTGACATCCATAATGTGGTGGTGCACCATATTGCTGGAAAAGCTCAGGCAGTGCACCATCTTCAGTGCATAAAGAGGGAAACACATGATCATGTAGCAATTTCACATATCCAGTGGCCTTGAGGCTTCCGATGATGAAGAATGGCCTCACTATCTTTGTACCCTATATACCACACCATACAATTAATTTTTGTGTCCCAACAGTCTTGGAGTGACCTATCCAATGTGGGTTAGGGTCAGACCAGTAGCAGTGGTTTTGTTTAACTTGTCCATTCACATAAACATTCCTGTTCCAATTTTTGATTTGCCCATTCTGCAAATTCAGTGTGCCGATCTGGGTCATTCTCGTTGAAATGCTGCAGCAGCTGGAGTTTGTAAGGGTGCCGTTTGTGAGTAGCTAATGTCCACTGAAGGGATCAAAAAGAAAAAAAATTGTGTAGGTCTTCTGGACGGGTTCTTCTCTCTTCTTCTTCTCTTCTTACTGAGATGCATCAGGACACTGAAGGGATGTTTGACTGATACCACTCTCCAATGACATGTGGCGAGTGATATACTGTGGGCTCTTGCTGAATGAAGCTAGGACAGCCACTGATGTTTCTTCATTAGTGACAGATTCTATGTGTACACATTTTGGCAAATCCAACACTGAACCAGTTTCATGAAACTTGGCAAGCAATTAGCTAACTGTAGCATGGGAGATGGGTGGTCTCATAGGGTGTCTTGCACTGAAAACTGCTGCAATGACCTGGGTACTGCGTTCACCAGAGATCAGCACAATTTCTATCCGCTCCTCGTGTTAACCTCTGCGACATGTCAATGGCTCTAAACAAAGAGAAACTTGTAAATAACTCATGAAAGAATAAAGTTATGTTAAAACCAAGCATACCATTGTTTTTATTGTGAAATTCTCATTAAGCTTGATATGTCACATGACCCTCTTCCCATTGGAAAAAAAACTATAAAGTTGGATCTAAAATGGCCGACTTCAAAATGGCCACCATGGTCACCACCCATCTTGAAAAGTTTCCTCCCACCCAAATACTAATGTGTCACAACAGGAAGTTAATATCACCAACCATTCCCATTTTATTTAGGTGTATCTCCCACCCTGCATATTGTTTTTGTTTTTTGTTTTTTTTGTCTCAGGGTAAAGACGAAGTCTATGACCGGATGCTGCTGGACTACTTCCTGCCCTACCATCAGTTCATTCACCTGCTGTGTCGTGTTGCCGTCAGCTGCGAGAAATTCACTGAAAGTCTTGTCAAATTGAGTATGAGTGTGAGATAAAGAAATCAATGATGCTATAAATACTCACTGATTGAACACTCACTGATAGTGTTTCTTTTTCTTTCAGGTGTTCTGATTGCGTATGAAGGACTTCCTCTTCATCTTGCACTTTTCCCCAAATTGTGGACGGAGCTCTGTCAGTCACCGGTACTAAACTCTTCTTGTTCTACTTAGTTTAGTGCGGTCCACTTCTAAACAACAAAGTTTTCTCAAAAAATCTAATTGCACAATTTATTTTTAGTCATTTTAATACCAGCATACTTATTGTTTGCTCATGTTTATTAACTCAAGATATATGTATACACACATACATATACACACAGTATATTCCATATCCTGTGTGTATACATCATCATGTATGCAAATGCTCATATAAACGTACTATCACGTGTTTGACATGTAATGGACATTTGAACTGACTATCCATTAATCCTGCAGTGAATCAATATTTAAGGCAGTTGCTAGTAGTTAAGTCTTTTTGTGAACACTTCTAAAGTGAAGACTATTTCTGCTTTTTAATGTATTTGGTTATATAGACAAAACCCTGAAGGGCCACAAGTTGCTGCTTACTAGGTTTTAATCTCATATCATCCTTTGTAAAAGCATCATATTTCCACTTAGCCGTTTCATCCATTGGCCCAATGACTATATAACAGGCTGTAGTGCATATATAGTTTATGCACTTGGTGCTTACGTTATCATTGAATTATATTAAGAGTTACATTAGATGTAAGCACATGTGTAGATTTTCACATTTTATAAGACCACAAATACTTATATTTTATCAATTTATGAAATTTCCCATGAGCCTAGTGTACATGTGGACAAAATGGTTGGTACCCCTCGTTTAATGAAAGAAAAACTTACAATGATCAGATAAAGAACTAGAATCTGACAAAAGTAGTAATAAATAAAAATTCTATGGAAATGAAAAAATGAAAGTCAGACATTGCTTTTCAACCATGCTTTAACAGATTAAAAAAACTCATGAAACAGGCCTGGACAGAAATAATGGTACCCCTGAAAACAATGTGACCAAAGGGGCATGGTAAGTAAAGGTGTGTCCACTAATTAGTATCACAGGTGTCTAAAGGTAAAGGTTATAAGACCATCTCCAAGCAGCTTGATGTTCCTGTGATTACAGCTGCACATATTATTCAGAAATTAAGATCTATGGGGCTGTAGCCAACCTCCCTGGACATGGCCGCAGGAGGAAAATTGATGACAAACCAAAGAGACTGCTAATACGTATGGTAACAAAAGAGCCCAGAAAAGCTTCTAAAGAGATTAATGGATACCTTGAAGCTCAAGGAACATCAGTGTCAGATTGCACCATCCATCATTGTTTGAGCCAAGGTGGACATAACGGGCGATGACCAGGAAGGACACCAAATACAAAAAAGACAGACTGGAAATTGTCAAACTACAGGTTGACAAGCCACAAAGCGTCTGGGAGAATGTCCTCTGGACAGATGAGACAAAAATGGAATGTTTTGGCAAGGCACATCAGCTCAATGTTTACAGACAGAAAAATGAAGCATCTCAAGAAAAGAACACTGCCCCTACTGTGAAATATGGAGGAGGATCTGTTTTGTTCTGGGTCTGCTTTGCTGCATCTGGCACAGGTTGTTTTGAATCTGTTTAGGGTACAATGAAATCTCAAGACTATCAAGGGATTGTAGAGAGAAATGTGCTGCTCAGTGTTAGAAAGCTTGGTCTCAGTCGCAGGTCACAGCTAAAACCACATAAGAATGGCTAAGAGGAAAACATTGGACTATTCTGAAGTGGCCTTCAGCCCTGACCTAAATCCTATTGAGCATCTTTGGAAGGAGCTGAAACATGCCGTCTGGAAAAGGCACCCTTCAAATCTTAGGCAGCTGGAGCCATTTGCTCATGAGGAGTGGGCCAAATACCTGGTGAGAGGTGCAGAAGTATCATTCAATCAATCACCTTTATTTAACGAGGTAGAGCCCATTGAGATCGAGATCTCTTTTACAAGGGTGACCTGGTCAAGTGGTCATCAGCACACGTCACATAGTAAGTGTAGGGGGTAGGGCTTAAGGTGAATTAAGCCTTTCCTACATCTCTCATACATAAAGTATGAGGAAAGTTTTACCAAGGTATTTTCTCATTACTTTTAATATCTTGACTGTGCGAAGTGAAAAGTGACACAATAAGTGAACGTTCAGACGAGTTCAAGTTGATTTATAAAAGACTATGCAATCGTTTATTTACACAAATTGAACAGATCATCAATACACCTGATTGTGGTTATTCCTATAACAAGCTTCAAAGTTAAATGAGATAAAAACTCACGTCCGAATTTTAATTCACATCAAACTCAGATTACTTAYATAGAACAGTAAAACGTCAGTTCTGATGTTACAACCAAACAATTTTACTGGCACTTTTAGCTTAAGTTTTGGCAAATAAAGACAAAGGAAAGGAGGTAAGGTTAGTGTTATACTAAGTTTTACTTTATCAAGAGTGTAGTTCAACTGGATCAGCACGTCCTTTCTGCCCTCAGTTTCCACATGACACGTCACCCGGAACACGTCAGTTTTACCTGGTGATGGCTTCTTAACCAAACCCTGGGTAGTGACTGCTTCACCTCCGATCAGTCAGGGAACTTTTTAATGGGCCCGCTCACTGTTCCTCGGCGAAAAGGTGTAATTTCAGGTAACTTTTCGTCTGTTTCAAGCCCAGCCAGAAGGATTCAAGCTGTACATCCGGTGACTCCTTCAAAATAAAATCTCCCCTCGGGAGTAAAAAAAAAACGTACTTGGGAGGCTTGGAGCCTTGGGTGGGACATCCGGCTGTCGTGCCGCTGTCCCGGCCGTTAGATCTCCCTAATTGGCTTATGGGCAAGACCTAACGAGCCAAGCTGGCTTCTCCGGAGAGAAACTCAGCATTCCTTCCCAGTTTGGCATCCAGGAAGAAGTGTGTCCGTCACTCAAAGACGTCCGTGTTAGTAATAGAAGCGGACGAACTTTGGTTCCGCCCTCAGGCTTAAGATGAGTCAGAGAAAGGAAGAGAGATAAGAGACTTGCCAGCCAGGCGCCAGCTCAAGGCTAAAATTCTGTGGTTGTCTCAACAGAATATGATAACCTCTTTTCAACTTTTCTTCTGATAGACTCTAAGAGAAATCACTGCAAAACATTTATGATGATTAATTAACATTTCTGTTTTATAATCAGTCTAAACCATTCTGTTAGTCCAGATAAATGAAAGATTTTCTCAAGAAAAACCCACAATTGTATTACTGTGTTCCCAGTATAAAAAAAAAACAGTGATTTATATAAAAACACAATGAAAACATGGTAATGATTTTCTCTGTGATTTTTTTATACTATTAATTAATAATTTAGGCACGATAAAAGAGAAGTGATTCCACTTTCTTGTGACAGTCATTATTATGATTTAACAAATGCATAAACATTCTTAGTTAAACAACAAATGAATCACGAACAGAAAAGATTGTTCTGTCCATTATCTGATTAAGAGAACCGAGAAATTCTCCTCTGGGTTGAAATGACCTGTCATGGCCTAAATAGAGTTCAGTTTGTGACAGAGTTCCTGTCCTCTCGTCAGGCCTGTGCGAGGCCTGCTTCGAGGCAGTAAATCTTGTTTCTTCACTCGAGGTGACCCCTACATAAGTGACAAAGCATTTGCATTGATCAAAACGAAATAAGGGGGAAAAAAACTACAATCACAATAAGTAGATGTTGACAGTTCAGAAGCATCTGGATAAGAAAGAATTCTATAGGTATTTACAATATTGGGTAGACCTGAAAAGAAATTTAGGTGCGAAAAATAAGTCAATGAATAAAAACAGATTCCATGATTTTTTTCCTCAGAATTGAGTGATTCCATATTTATTTTTCAATCTGATAGGCCAAAAAAAAGTAACTGTTACTGACTGCCACATTTTCTTTCTTGATTTCTTTTAGTGTTTCTTAAAGCCAGAAAGTAGCCATTTAAAATAAATTGACTTTAGTTTTGTGTCATGTCAAAAAGAAAAAAATTGTATAGGTCTTCTGGATGGGTTCTTCTCTAATGAAACGTTTCGTCTCTCCTCCAAGAGACTTCTTTTGTCTGAGAGTTTCAGGCAAAATTCAGGCTTTTAAGCCCTGCCTCCATGTGACTGATACATCACATGGCTATCGTTGACACCTAATTAACACTTATTGTTAACAGGGGGTGGAGTGATACTGGCAATAGCAGCACTGTAGGAGGAGGACAACTGAAAACGGAGGCAATGTTACAATGTTTCTAAATATCTGACGTCTATACTTGGTCCTTTAGTTGGCAGCTCAGAACATCACAGAACACTATGGACTTTGTGGACAAGGTGAGGGATATTATCATGGAGGCGGATGAAACTATGGTCTCTTTTGATGTTACATCGCTCTTTACGTGCATTCCTGTTGAAAAGGCAGTGGATGTGGTCTGTGCAAGATTAAAATCAGACACCACTCTCAGCAGCAGAACCACACTTTCCACAGAACAAGTGTGCCAACTCCTCAAACTGTGCCTGGAGTCAACCTACTTACCATATGGGGGGCAATATTATAGGCAGAAACATGGGTGTGCCATGGGATCCCCAGTTTCTCCTTTTATTGCAAACCTGTACATGGAAGAAGTGGAAAAGAGAGCCTTGATGTCCTTTTCAGGGGTGCCA